TATCCCTTTAGCAAAGCCGTTCTCACCCCTGTTGGATCCCAAGTCGTGCACTGGGACCTTCGAACCCAATTCCTCCTCCCACAGTGCCGACCTCCCAAGCCGTCTCAGCGCAGTCCAAAGCCGCAACACTCTCCGTCTCTTGGTAGCGGACGAAGAAAGCAGGCGCAATTGATCTCAGCAAGCACCCTCAGTTGGCAGCGGCCCAATACCAGGCAATTAGCCGCCCCCTGCAATAAACCTTGTAGCGAAATACTCCGATAACCCTGTTCAAACTAACTGGCCGCTCATCAAAGACGCCGCCGTTGATTAAAACCCTAGCGGTTTACGCTAGGTCCGTTCGCTCTTAGACCTCATACGAAGTTATGAACTGAGAGTACTTCTTAAAAACAACAAATAGAATATTTCTTCTTATTTGAACGGTTTTATATTAGTTTTGGTAAATTTTTCTCCATAATGTCAAGCACATTTTCTAAATATATCCGACATTATGGTTGACATTGTTGAGAAACATTTACCAAAAATACATAAGATCATGAAAAGAAGGAGAAATAAATGTCATAAATGTACTCTTCTGTGTCTATGTCTCTCATGTCACATGTGCACCGTGCAGATCGTAGCATTGGAGATGCTCTAATAAATCACGTATACCACATTTCAAATGCCACCACAAAGTAATTGTTCATTGTTTAAAGGGAGAACTATCAAATAAGCCCTCGAACTTACATAAAAAGTGAAAATCACCCCTTATATAGGAGGCTCTGTCCGATCGTCACCATTTGGGGCGGTTCCCGGTGGAATTTTTTGATGCAATTTTTTTAGCATCTTATTCATTAAGTCTAGTTTACTCATACCAAATTTAAGATAAAAATTCAATCGGGAAGGCAGTCAAATGAATTTTTGAAGATAACTGCGCAGTTAAACAGCGCAGTATATTTCAGAAAATAATTTGAGTGCCTTCCTGGTTGAATTTTTAGCTGAAATTTGTTATGAGTAAACTAGACTTAATAAATAAGATGCATAAAAAATTTCATCAAAAAATTTCACCGGGAACCGCCCCAAATGGCGACGGTCGGACAGAGACTCCTATATAAGGGGTGATTTGCACTTTTTATGTAAGTTTGAGGGCTTATTTGGTAGTTCTCCCTTGTTTAAATTAATTTGAGGTTGTGAATTTTTTAAACTAATGTCTACTTTATATATATATATTATTCTTATTGTATTAAAGTATTTTTGTTCTTAAAAAAAGTATTAAAGTATTTTACATATAATAAATTTGTTTCTTTATTTTATTAATAGTTTGTTAATTGATGTTATGTATTATTATAAGAGTCTGTTTGGTAATATCTTTTTTCCGCTTATCAGCATTATCAATCACTTTTACTCACATTTGTAGGGTCACTTTGGTGGCTCTTTTTTCGTCTTACAGCTTAACAACTCTTTCACCGAACACATAGCTATTAATTTTGCACGCTGAATTATGTAATGATCAAAACAAATAAGGTCGGAAATACTTTTCTGGCTTAATTGGCTGGAGTTACCATAGCGGATCATTTTAACTATTTTTGATATAATGTTTTCTTTACTTTATTAGTAAAACAATTGTAATTTTTTTCATAATTCAGTAGGACTGGCCAATCCAACTACTTCAACCGGAACTTCATAAATTTTTGTAGAATCATCCAATTGAGTTAATTTCACTGTAATCAAATGGGCTCGAAGATTCATAAGTTACATTTTAGATAGTTTCTTCATTTTAGTAAATTACATCAGTAAATTCGTTTCACCATTTAGTTAGTTTATTTACGAATATAGAATAATACCCGCATTAGTTAATTTTGTTATTAGTAAAATATTAAGACAACACATTACCAGTATTTCGAATAAAATGATTGTTGTTGTAAAAAACTATTAAGTTTTGTTTTTATGATATTAATTAATAATTAATTAATGTTTTGATTTATGGGGAGACACCGCAGGCTTCATTTATAGATGTTATCCGGCCAAATTGTCAAAGCCCAAATCTGAACGCGAGAGCAATTAGCAAGGAATGGAGTCTAACGGCCTGTTTGGATTGAGTGTTGAGGAGTGTTAGTAATGGAAGTGTTAGTAAGTGTTGATGTTAACACTTGTTTGGGAGAAAAAACCAGAGGTGTTAAGAAGTGTTAGTAATGGTTAGGAAGTGTTAATAATAACCTTCCCAACACCTCAATTGTCCATTTTTTTAACACCCCGATTTGGAGTGTTTTGAGGTGTTGGACAATTATTACCCTTCTCATTTGCCCGAAAAACATAAAATGCTTCGACATTTCACTTCGAATGTCTTTCCCACGGGTCTGATGATTTGTTTTTTCATCTCTTCTCTTTACTCTTTCTTTACTCTTTCTTTAACACTTCCATTATTAACACTTCAATCATTTGACTCTCCCAAACAAGGTAAACTTATGTCCAACACTTACACTTCTCTTCCCTTCCGAGCCCTTACTAACACTTACTAACACTTCCATTACTAACACTTCCAAACACTCCATCCAAACAGGCCCTAAAGGGGTGAAGCCTCAAGCATCTCTCTCATCTACAAACGACAACTACGTTATGGTTGTATAATTTTTAATTTGTTTTAGTTTTTGTCTTGTTTACTCAATTATTTGTTTAACTAGTATGTGTACCTGTGCACTGCACAGCAAAATATATGCTTAAAATTTTTATTAAATTGTAGGGGAAATGAATTGTATGTGAATTCGTCAATCGGAGTTTAAAAGAGAATTCAATCGACTATGAATATAGTCATCAAAATGATTCGAAGCCATATGGCTAATTAACCCATTTCATCTCATTTCACAATGGGTTAGAGTTGTCATTCTTTAATCTGATGAACTCACCAGTTTTGTAGTTCAACTTGCACGGGCTGCAGGTTAAGTGGGTTGACCCATGCAGGTTGTGAGTAAACCTAAATATAAACATCAATTTTTTACTTTCATTGTCTTCAATATTGATGCTTCAGTACCAAATTAATTTTCAAATATACTTATTATTTTACAACCCTTGTTGAACTATTGTTTCTATATATAATAATTATTTAAATAAATTACTCTAGCATTATTTCCATATATGAACTGGAACATCAGATTTGAAAATTGTGCATTATATATCGGGCTGAGTTCAAACGGAAGACATCTTAAAATATAAAAAGAGAATTAGAATGAACTTGAACGTTAGATTTGAAAATTGTGAAATAGAAATATGCGCTATCATAAAAAAAATGTAGTGACATTTTTGTAAATAGATTCAACCTTTCATGTTTGTTTAAGGTATGAATTATTTTAACTATAAGTGTGCTCCTCCATTAAAAATAATGTGCATCGTTTCATATCGTTCTCATCGTTTGAAACTATTAGGCATTTAGACGATCCAAGCTATGAAAAGCATAATCTACCACAGGGTGGGTAAGATTGGGAGTGCTAACCCATTTAACAACATGAAACATAAATTGGGAAGGAATTATAAATAAATATGAGACAAAAAGTGAATCTACCTTTAGACATTGATTTGGTAGGCCTTGTGAATTAATACATAGATAAGTAATATCGCATTTGTCCCATTAAGATCGACACATGTGCATCTATTAAAAAAGAGTTTATCTAGCTAATGTTGAAATGAAAAGGTAGGGACAACAATGTAAGAATGATTTAGAACTACACATGTATTATAATATTTGGAACCACACAAATTTAGTGAACTAAAAAGAAAGGAAATATCGGAGAAAATTAATGAGACAGAGGATGTAATAATTATCATATTTTGAAAGGAAATAAGAAACAATTTATAAAAACTCCGAATACGGCAAAATCATCAAGAGTTTATGAGAAAAAAGTAGAGAGTAATATTTTTATTTTAAGAGCGGCTAAAAATTGTTAAGTATTTTTTATTTTTGAGTATTTGGATTTTGTAATACCTGTGAGTGCAAAATCTTACCTAATTTTATATAAAACATTATCATAAATATATCAATATATATATATAATATTGAACACAACTATTCAGGTCCGGCCAGGCCGGACCACTCTTCCCGTCCGGCCTCCTCCATTTGGGGGTCTTCCCGGTGGTATTTTTTGCTCAAATTTTTTGTGTAGGTTCCTCATCAAGTCTAGTTCATCCATACCAAATTTCAGCCAAAAATTCAATCGGGAAGGTCGTCAAATGATTTTTGCAAGTTAACTGGTCCGGAATATGTATTTTCCGGACCAGTTAACTTGCAAAAATCATTTGACGACCTTCCCGATTGAATTTTTGGCTGAAATTTGGTATGGATGAACTAGACTTGATGAGGAACCTACACAAAAAATTTGAGCAAAAAATACCACCGGGAAGGCCCCCAAATGGAGGAGGCCGGACGGGGCTCCGGTCAGGTATACCTGACCGGAAGAGTACTCTAATATTGGAATACATAAGAGGAGAGTTATGGAAGTTGAATAGTTTTTTCTTTAATTTATTGTGTTGCCACATGTCATTTTTTGAAGTTGTATATATATATATATATATATATATAATATTGTATTCCATATGCAACTTCCATAACTCTCCTCTGTGCAGTTATCTCCTATTCATCTTATTCATATAGAAGCCATAATTCTTGAAGATAACTGTGCAGTTAAATGCGCAGTTATCTTCAAGAATTCATTTGAATGTCTTCCCAATTTAATCTATATATATACATATATATATATATAATATTGGAATACATAAGAGGAGAGTTATGGAAGTTGAATAGCTTTTTCTTCAAGATAACTGCGCATTTAACTGCGCTATATATGAATAAGATGCTCAAAAAAATCCATCAAAAAATTTCACCGGGAACTGCCTCAAATGGTAACGGCCAGACAGTAAGGACTTATTTGACCCTTTTTATGCAACTTCGAGTACCAATCTAACCCTTACCTCTAAATGAAACACACACTTACAAGTAGGATCTAGAAATAAGGAAACTAGAAAATAATATTTCTCTCTTCCTCAAAATCACATTTGTGAAAAGATAATACTTGAAGAAATTCAAAAACTACAAATGACATGTAGGAGGAATACACTTTATATGGTCAAGACAATGATTCACTGGGAGAAACGAGTGTAACACAAGTATTATACATTGGTTATAAGGAAACCAATGTAGATTCATGTAGGGGCCCCATATGAATTCAAATTACCTACTTGAGTACTTGCATGAGTTGAGTTCCAGATTTAATAATGTGGCATATTAAAGTGTGCTCACCTGAACCTCTTGGAAAGACTGCTTCTATGGGACAACAAGGGATTCAAAAGGAGTGGGGGACTTATAAGTTATAATTGACAACAGTGAATCACTTGAGAGACCAGAATATCACTTGAATGTCTCCATATCAACCATATCTGCTTAAACCAAGAATCCTTTGGAGGTCATTGGGATTAACGGCTGATCTAAATGGCGTCATTCATGGTTTTTCCAGGTTCCCGTGACATAAATACCAGTCCGCATTGGAATGGGAAGACTGATAGAGAAATATGCAAAAAGGCCCGAGTGTTTCCTCCAAGCCCTGGAAAGGAGAGAAATAGGAAACATGTAGTCCTTCCAGCTTTTAAGATATGAAGTTCTCAGTCACACTTTGAATGTTACTTATCTTTAGGCCCTTGCCATAAGCAGCAATAAGTAAAGCCTCAGCTCGGCCTGGAAGGTTTAGAACTGGAATTAGTATATGCACACATAGAAGAAACGTATAAAAATTTATCACCTAGCCAAATTTGTTTGGATGTTGATGGTATGAATCATGAATGGGCATGGACCAGTGGTCCAGGACCGTCCCATCTTCTCAGGCTGATAGACAGCATTCGAATAGCATCTGTTAGACAAAAGTATTGGGTAGCCAATAGCCCGATCCTTGGGGCCGACCCTGCTGTGCTAACAGAGGATTAACAACATCAATAAATAAGAATGCTATTTTACTCTAAATGAGAGGAATGACCGAATGAGTTATGTGAATGTTGTTCGTTTTCATGGGGATACTACATGGATAAAAAGAGTTGGAAACAAGGGGAAGGTTCTTTACTCTCTTCTGCAAAGTATGAGAGAACGTAGCATGCAAAGCCAAATGAAAAGGAGATCTGAGGAGGGAATATGCATTCTAAAGAAAGTCATTTTGTTCCCGCTCTGTGCAAACCACACACAACGGAAAAACTTAAGAAGAATTATACGAATAATAAATTTCCACCTGCCAATCAGTCACTCAGTCTTACTTCAAAGTTTAACTTACTTGATCAAAGATGAGATATAACTAAAGCTAAGCTCTGAGTATTTAACTAATGTTCATTCTGTGATATTGTTATAAATGTCACCTGGCCTTGGAACACATATTGCCTCTTTACTACAATGGACCTCAACTTCCTAGGAAACCAATTTCAACCTAATTCCTTGAACTTGTAGACTATGCAGTTTGGTTGCAGGGAAAACTTTTTCCCAAGGAATTTCATTTCCTTAACTTCCAGGAAGAATGTTCTTCCCCTTACCCACAGCTGCCCCACAGGATTACTTTCCATGCCCATTAGAAGAGGATATTGTATATTTTGACTGTTGGCAATGAAATACGTAATTCATCTTACAATATGAGAGGAAAGTACAAAATGAAGGAAAAGGTCAGTGGACGAACCGTGATCTTTCTTCCTTTTTAACTGGGAACTCATACACGGAAATAATCTGGATGCCATATCCCTACTATCATCCTGACAATACAATTTACGTATTACAAGAGTATAGAAGTTGCAAGCCGAATTTGGAGAATGAATTCCTCCCCATACCCAATCAACCAAGTACTGAAATTGGAAAAGGAAAAGAGAAAGTGGGAGTCCATTGGAAGAGGATGCACAATTTGTTGTTGTATTAATATTAATATTTCGGGCGTAGTTATTTTATCCCTTGTATTGGGGATTTCAGATACAAGGGAAGGGAAGCGGTGAACTAATTTCCTTAAATTATTCTTAAATTGATTGAGATGGTTGGAAAGAAATTGAAGATGAAAAGTTAAATAGAAATAAATGATTTGACTAAATATACACTCCCTTTGTCCCAATTTTTTTGCAATGTTTTTCTTTTAGGGTTCCAGTTTGTCCCCTGTTTTGCTTTTAAAGAAACAAAAGTGTGATCAATAAATGACCATAGTTGTCATGGCGTCGCCATGGCGTCGCCTTATCGTCGCCACATCGTCCTGGCGCTAGGAGAGGCTCGTCATATGTTGTCGACTCGCCATAAACCTTGTGGCGTCGAAGCAGCGTCCAAAGAACGCTTTAGACGCCTAGGCGACGATTTATTTGAACAGGCCCAAACCCAAACCCAATTTTTTAAACCCATCAAATAAAATAAACCAGACTGATCCATCTGCGCTCGACGAGTTTCCAAACGCAGAGTCCCATCTGCGCTCAATCCATCTCCCGCAGTCCGCACGCTCCTCTTCCCTTCCGTCTTCAATCGGCCGCACGCCCAGTCTGGTCCGCAGTTTTACGTGCTTCAATTTTTTTCAAAACTTGGACTTTTAACTTTAGTGTGTGGGTACGTGGGTTTAAAATCATCCAACTTTTTATATTAACTTTGTACTTCGTATTTAATATTTCTCAAAAAAATTGTGTTTAATATTTTGTTGAGTGCTTTGAATTTAATGTTGTCTTTACTGTGATGAACTGTTAATGTTTTACAGAAAGTCAAATAGTTTTTGAAAAGTTAGTATTGTACTATTGTTACTATTTTAAGAAAAGTTTTAATTTTATGAAAAAAAAAATGTCAGTTTTTCCCCAAATAATGAATAAATTTCAGTAGTTTTTTTTTTATATTTTATATTTCAAAAAAAAAATCGGTGTCTTCAATTTATGCTGAAATGTACGTTGTGTAATTGTGTTGTCTTACATTAAATAATATTTTTTAAGTTTTTAGTGAAATTTTGATTGTTTAGTTATACATTTAAGTATTTTTATGATGGATTATGTTATTTCTATTTTCTACTTTTTTTACTATGGATAATTTTTGTGATTGTTTTGATTATGGTCTTATGGGTTATGTTATTTCTATGATTACATGTTTTATTACTTCATTTACTTCATTAGTAGTGTTGGCTATAAATGTTACATATAGGCTTATTAGTATGTAAAACATATTATGAATTCATTAGTTTATATGTCGACTTATCGCCGCGACTCAGCCACGACGGGCGCCATATCGCCATGGCGGTGTGGCAGTCCAAAGGCGCCGTGCCGCAAAACACCGCCGTAACAACTATGTAAAGGACAACACACAATTTCATTTTCTTAATAGGTTTGCCATGTCAAAGAGCGGGGGAATTATGGGACGGAAATAGTAGTTGATTTCTTGGCTAAGACGTAATATTAAAGAATATAAGATAATAAATAAAAACCAAAATTTTATGCCCGTGGTTGGGAGACAAAAAGAAGATTGAAAAGCTATATATTTTTAGTCCCAGTAGGTTCCAACCACGATGGTTGAGGTAGAAGCTGTCTACCAGTTCCACCAAATACTTAAAATAGAATTATTACTCCAAAAGATTGATGATCTTATTATTGAATAAAACACCTCTACTTATGCTAGTTTCAAGAGTCTTGGTGGCCCAGTAGTAGAGTAGCTATAAACCTATTATAATACTTCTATTAGGAATACTAACTATCATGGAATACAAATACTAATAGGAAACTATTGGTAAGAGTGTAAGACTACTACTAATTATTATTATCATCATCATAATGATAATAATTGGACACTGATATCAATAATAATGATAATCACGCCTTCCACTAAGCTTGTCCTCAAGCTTGAAGGTTGAAGCTAATAACCAATGACGCCTTCCACCATCAAACAACATTATTATATAATCAGTAATCACAGTGTAGGTTGTAGCCGCACAACCATGAGTAATGTCCCAATATGTAGCCTGATCCATTAAAACCTTTCCTTGCATAAGGTCGATATTATTTCTGGCAACTTGGTGTGTGCAACGAATGTGCAGGAACCATCAGCTGGGGTGTCAACTCACTGGTGACAGCAAGGGTGTTGTTGATAATGGTGGATTGGCATGTTGCAACAAGGCTTGCTATGCTGGCACCGCAATGTTGAAGGTCATGTGGACAACAATGATTTTATACCCAACAGCGGTGGTGGAAACAGTGGAGAGGCTGACAGATCTGACGACCAAGGAGAAAAGTTCCAGTTGCGCAACAATTGTATCCAACACGGAATCGAAGTATACCAATTCTTGTCGTTCAACCCCGTCAAAGTTCAAAACATCAATATGTTGAACCGACTTGTACGCAAGAGCACATTATAAATATAAATCATACTCATCTATGAAACAACATAAATTAGACAAAATTAACGCCCAGTTCAAGAGCTCATTATTTTCTGATTTTTTCCCTGTTTGTTCCGTGGTCTTTTTCTCCTTCCTTTTCCGGATTTTATTTTCAGTTTGTTTTACAAAGTTGCTCAGAGCGTGTGCTTGCCTTAAGTAAAATAAATACTCACGTGTAACGATCCCACACCGGTCAAGTATGAGCTTGACCGGTAGCTTATAAACAAGGTATTCCCTCCTAATTGGCTGGTCTTTTTGGGAGTGAGTATGGGCTAGGTCCGTAACAATTGGTATCAGAACCGTCCCTATCTTCCTGGTCCCGACACTCGAAGGATGGCCCATGGAGTAATGACTTGGGCAATGGGGGTGCCAACCGTGACCAATATAGCAGTGACAAATGAGGAAGTTGGCTCTTTGAAGTGTGGGGTATTGTAACAATCCCACACTAGTCAAGTATGAGTTTGACCGGTGGCTTATAAGCAAGGTGTTTCCTCCTAATTGGCTGGTCTTTTGGGAGTGAGTTCTACATCTGGGCTTATGGCTTTGATATGGGCCTAGTATGGGCTAGGTCCGTAACATCACGCTAATTAAAAGAAAACCTTGGAGGACTTAAGAAAACAAAAAACTATGGATCAAAATACAGATTTGCAAACTCTGCACAGATTGGCAGGTTTACCTCTTAGAGGATGATAATGCTAATTTTTGCATATAAGCTGTTGTTTTATGAATTCAAACCACATGTCATTTCTCTCCCTTTATATTTATTTGGGAGGGGTTGGGAAGAGAAAAGAGAAAAAATGACAAGTGCAAAGTAGATCTCAAGTTTGTGGAAAAAACAAGAAGAATACTTATAATTGAAAAAACAATTGAGCTTCCCATCCTAAGCAAGAAGAATGATTACACTCCAAAAGATTAATGATCTTTTTATTACTCTAAAAAAGCACATTTATACTCCCAAAATGATTTTCCACTTTCCATTTTAAGTATTGAAGCATGATTAAAGTGACAAGTTTGCCCTTAACTCTTTACCCTTCTAATCTGCTACCCCACCCATCTAATTTATGGATGAGTTAATTCCCACCCATCTATTATCACTATGCCCATCTATTACTCTCACCCACTTTATCTCTCCATGATGGGGTTATGGGACTAGGCCCAATACCTAATCAGACCCGGCTCCAAACTTGGACCAGCAGGCCCAAACCCAAGACCCTTGTCTCGCCAGGCAAGCCCAACCAGTGGACCTAGCAATCCAGATCTCAAGTTGGCCCAACCGATCAAGCCCATCAAGGAGCGAAGGTGCAGCGGAGCGGAAGCCCAAGACGGTCTGCCTACCGGTCCAACCAAAAGTCTGCCTCCAGCCCAGCGGGGAGCCTACCTTCCAGCCCAGCGGGGAGCCTGCCTTCCAGCCCAGCGGGGAGCCTGCCTTCCAGCCCAACGGAAGTCTTCCGCCCACGGAGCTCGAGCGTCAGGCCTGCCAGCCAGGCCGACCCGCCAGGAAGAGTAACGGCCAGCAATTAATGCGCTATTAATTATGTGTTTAATTTCGTATTAATGTGGTAATTAATAAATCATTATTGTAGTAGGCAGTTACCATTTGTATACGCCTATAAAAGGCAAGTTGTAATTCAAATACAAACATGCTATTCTTGGCAATTAAACTTCCATGAGCACTTTCCATATTCGTACTTTTTATTTTCCTGCTCGAGTGTCCTTTCGTAACTTTCCTAAAAGCCTACGAGCGTCCTATTATGGACCAACACTCCATATTCCTATTCGAAGCATCTCTGCAAATGAAGTCTTTCAAGTTCTCCATGGCTAGATTTTTTTAGCTAACGGGGGCTCCGACTTGGTCTATCAGCTCTGGCGTAGAGGAAGAATCAGCTCCAAACCTCTCTTGCTTGGTCCATCAGCTCCTTCTCCGCGAATCCGAGATCCGACACGCCTAGTTGACCGAGTCCATCGTAGATGAGTCCCCGCCGCCCTCGGGCAACTCTTACAAAAATGGAGGATGAGGGTGGACAATGGTCATTGAAGCGGGTGGGACCAGATGAGTCGCTGCCGCCATCCCGCCCTCGGACAACTCTTACATAAATGGAGGACGAGTGGATGACGGTCATGGAAGCGGGTGGGACCAGATGAGTTGCTACCGCCGCGCAGCCCTCGGACAACCTCGCAGATGAGTAGCTGCCGCCCTCGTTGAACCAGATCTTGCATCGTGGGTCGAAGCCCCTGTTCACTGTCGGCCTGTCAAGTGCCAAGTTGTGAGAACACTATTCTTTGCCAGAGTACCCCAAATGCCGGTGGTCCTATTTTTGAAACCAAACATTTGGCAATGGATGTATTTCCTTCGTGTCTCCTTTCGTATTGTAATGGTAAAACTGAATATTGTAAAAATTGGGCAGGGTGAAGAAGTATTATCTTCCATTTTGAAAAACTTTCTGGCTTTGTATATAATGAACAGTATGGTAAAGTGAATTTCTGTATTGGCGGTATTGCTTACTCTTTATAAAAGAAAGGGCAGAATGGTAAAGTGAATTTTGATATCTATGTTTCCTTAATTCTTGTGCTGGTCAAAGTTTGCAATTCAATTTGGGACGGAGGGAGTATATACTAATTCCAAGAATCTTGGTGGGCCAAAAGTAGGATAACCGTAAACCTATTACAACGCTACGATTAAGAATACTTGGTAAAATAAAATGATGATGATGATGATGTTGACTTTGATGATGAGGACGACAACGATGACAATAAGACACTAATATCAATAATGATAGTAATAGCGATAATAATTGTATTGATATAAGACTTCTTTCACCTATATCAAAATCCTCCTATCCCTCCAAGTTCCCCAACCAAATAATCCCATGGAATATAACAAAATAAACAATGTTAGAAAGATCAATCACACCTTAGTTGTGTCACCTCCGGCTAGTTTAAAAGTTCGTTTCCACAAAGCTGATGGTACAGGAACAACAGAAAATCCCAAAGCTACTAAGATTCCAATCCATAATCCATACCCAAATCCTCCACCCCACCAACCCTTCATATGAAGAAAAAGAATATTGAAACAAACTGTGGCATGAAGGAAGAAAGCGTACAGGAGGATTAAAAGTTACATCAGATCTAACCATAATAAAATTGGAAGTTATTGATTGTTCTCAAAAGTTATGCAAGAAAGAGTGGTGTTCAAATTATCATTATTTCACATGAAGAATTCCTGATGGTGCAGGTTGATTATTGGGGCTTGCATTAATGCCCATCGCTGATGAGAATGCTAACCTGTTTACCATCTTGTGGGAATGGAGTTGATTGCTCAATATATGCAGTAGTTCCTGAGAGAAAATGATAAAGCAAAATCAAGCTAAGATCATAATTTCTCAAAAGATCCTTATCTGAGCTTTTCAGTCAACTGAAGCAGATTATAATGTTAAGAGCAAGTTAGTTTTAAATGCCAAATTATAACAAAGAAAACAAACAGAGAACTATACAGCTATACTTAGAGATTATGTAAATTACCTATAGGAACTTCAAAACTTTGAAGCAAGTGAACAATGGACCTCGCATCTAAACGCCTTCGTACTCCTTTCCCAACCGTTACTTTCAAGTGAGGAGAATCAAATACCTGTTAAAAAATAAAAGAGATGCTCTAATGATGTAAGTTTCTTATTAACATAAATACTTCTAGAAAACGCAAATAGAGAATGCTCTCTAAATGGTTTTCAACAAACCCAGAGTTTTGTTAAGCATATATTATCTTATGAGGAAAGTGTCAATTTAGTACTTGAATTTGTCTCTGACACAGTAAAGAGTACATCACCTTATATGAGAGCTCAAAAAATACTCCAACATCTCTGACTGAGTAAAGAGTACATCAACATCAGAATTCAGAAAGTATTCCAACTTGTTTTTGTGTGTCATACCGTCATTATAGTACTTTCGCTAACTAGAGATTTGACACGTTGAATTTAAGCTAAACGGAAACAACGACAGAACACTATGTACAAACCATGTGAGCTATGTTATACGTTAAGTCTACACGGGGAGCGAAATTCATGTACTAAAATAATATTTTACACTAGAATAAAAATTAAATTTATATTGGTTACCCATATATCAAAACCTAATGTTTACAATAAAAGCATACTAGCCTATTTAACTACTAGTTTTATCTAGAGTTTCGCAATTCTAAATCTTACAGCATTTCAAACATGTAAAACTCTTATTATAAACATTATTCAAAAAATTCTTATAAATTCGAAATAAATCATTTACTATAAGTTAACAATTATAGTAGCTTATTTAACAATTATTTTTATCAAACATCGCATCATTTTTGTTTCCATCATTTGGAATGGAGTCAAAGACTCGCTATTTTATGGCTTGAGAATATGATGGAATAAATCAAAATGACTGATTAAACTGTCTGCGCTTCTTTGTTATGAAGCGGCAGCCAGTCCATGCAATTTTGGACATGATTTTCACTATGGGTAATCCGGAAACAGTCTCTGTGCATAAGGGTAAGACTATGTACATTCAACCTTCCTTACCCCACCGTAGGTGGGAGCATTGCGGCACTGGGGTGATGATGATACTGATACTGGGGTGATGATGATGATGATCGCATCATTTTTAACTTTTATCATTTTTCAGCTAGTTTAAACTAAAAATTAACAAATCATTAAATCATTTCCCCTAAATTCTCTCTATATTTGACGGTTATACCATAACACAGTTGAAGTACTTTCAAACTCCTTTACTCCATTGGAGATAGGTTGGAGTACTTCATGAGCTCCGATTGAGACAAATTCAAGTACCAAATTGACATTTTCCTCATTATCTTATTATGTACAGTTGTACACAAATGTATGAAGTTGAATATTGCTTTACTCTCTTTTCCTTTAGAAAGTAAAAGGCTTGAACCATAATATTTTTAAAAAGCAAGTAGAAAGTGAAGTTCATACTTGAACTTTCCTTAACGAAGCAGGTATCTCAAACGTAAGAGAAGTTCAAAGTGCCTCAATTAATTCGAAATTGTGTCTTACAACTTGTAAGCTAGGGATTATCATATACTTAGGTGATGTTTACTTTTTTCATTAATTCCTGGATTAAAAGGTATGTTTGTCTAGATTAAGCATGGTTTAAAAAAGCGTTTATGAGACTCGCCATGTTGATTGTGTTGGCATGAGGCAGTGAAAAAAAAACCTTGAAGTTAAGGTTATGACCGCTATGTTTGTATGGCCATTTCACCTCAAAATGAGCTTAAATTTTATCTATCTAGACAATTAATTCACGTGTAGTATTGTTTGGATGAAGAGCTGAACTTGGTCTAATCTAAAATTAATCAGCTGATCTGAAACATCATTAATTGTAGCGTTTCAATTCAACCCTTTAATTTACTCCAAACTTATGTTAACTTTATCTTCCCATTATTCAAATCTTATCTTGTTTCTACTTCATTCAGCTAGGACTTCAATTTTAGCAGCTTTTATCCAGCTTCAAACTATAATCTCTAAATTAGATAACAGACTTCAGCTATAGTTCATTCTTCCAAACATAGCCTAAGCCACATGAAAATGAACATAGGCTTAAGCCTCATATGGCTGCGGCATTTGTGAGGCTTAAGCCTCATGTTTTTACTTAATTTTATATTTTGTATTAGGCTAATATTTTTCCTAAAATTCTCGCTGAAGCTATTATTTTCCAATAGAGTTTTTGCCACTTTTAGTCCTCCGACTATTATGTCACTCATACTTTTGGTACTCAACTTTGACTTTTTCACTTTCAGTCCTTTAACTATTGTGTGAAAGACACTTTTGGTACCCGTCTTGAAAATTTCTATATATAAACCTTCGACTTTCATAAAAGTGACACGTTTAGTCTTTCAACTATTATAATAGTGACATTTTTAGGGATTGTTTGCAAGAGCTTAATAAAGCACTTTTATTGCTTTTAGCTTCAAAAAGCTGAAAATGGTGTTTGCGTTGACAAGCTTTTGCTTGAATTCAAGTGCTTTTAAGCCAAAAGTTAAAAGCACCCTCTAGGATGTGTTTATGTGTTTCTGGGTTCTGTGGTAAATAATTCACTTTTAGGATAGTTATTAGCTAAACGCCTAAACATATTCCATAAACCCCAAAACACCCATCCGAATTGATTATTCGTCCATTTGGAAATCCCTGATGAGCTTGACTTGCAGCCATGACCATCTGCCTCGCCGGCAACGCCGCCATCCGCCGCCATCCTCCTCCTCGTCGACGTGACCATCCACCACCATCCTCAGCGTGGCCACCAGCAAGGGCCCTCATCTTAGCCTGCAGCAGTCATGCGGTGGCTCACCTCTCTTTCCGTCTTCTGAGTTTCGATCCCTGAGTGAGTGAGTGTGTGTCTAAAATATTAAAAGTGTGAAAGACATTAGAATATACTTGAGAATATGCTTCTATCTTTAGAATATGCTTTAGAATATTTTAGGAATATACTCTAGGATATGATTATTGTATAGAATCTTATAGGAATATTCTATCTTTGTAATGTATATATAGGAACTTAACCCTCCAATAAAATACACATAATGTGGCTGAGAATAAACTTTGTGGCTCCAATTATCTTAAATTGAGTAAAACTATCAAATGTTATTTAAGGAGCATTGATAAACATACCCACTTAGTTGATGACCCGCCAAGGATGAGGTTGATAGAGCTGATAGTGATGCATGGCTTCGTGATGATTCTAGATTATTTATCCAGATTCAGAACTCCATGGAAAACGACGTCATGAGGTATGTTGGTCATTGTGACACTGTGAAAGTACTGATTGATTATTTGGAATTTATGTATTCTGGCAAAGGTAATCTTAACCACATCTATGAAGTGTGCAAAGCAATTTACAGGGTAGAAATGAAACATAAGCCTCTCACGGCTTATTTTATGGATTTCAAGAAAACATATGAAGAGCTTAATACCTTAATGTCATTTAGTCCTGATATCAAAGTGCAGCAGAAACAACGAGAACAAATGGCAGTCATGAGCTTTTTGGCTGGTCTTACGTCTGATTTTGAAACAGCCAAATCACATATCTTGTATAGTGATGTGGTCTCTTCTCTTCAAGATGCTTTCAGTAGAGTGCTTCGCACGGACACTTCATCCACATCAACAGCACCTCATCCAAGCAATGGTTTTGTAGGGCAAGTCCCAACATTCTTCAAAGGAGGTGAGAAATGGTCACGCATTGCACCGTTTAGCAAAGGAGTAGTATGCAACTACTGTAAGAAGCTCGGACACTTGATAAAAGATTGTCGAAAATTGAAGTTCAAAAATCAGGGAATCAGGTTGCTCACATTGCTTCCGCTACACAGTTGTCGTTAATTCAGGTAATCCAAACACATGTTTTGTGTCTTCATCCTCAAAAAAGGTTATCAATCCAGGGGCAACAAATTATATGACAGGTAATCCTAGTCTTTTTTCCTTATTCCACACACCTCTTCATGTTTCTAATGTTACTTTAGCTGACGGATCTACGTCACCGGTTCTTGGAACGGGTACAATTGTCCCAACATCTACTTTACCTTTGTCACCCGTCCTAAGTCTTCCAAACTTTGCTTTTAATTTGATTTTGATCAGCAAAATCACATGTAAACTTAATTATTCTGTAACCTTTTCCCATGGATATTTTGTATTTCAAGATCTGTTGATGAATCCGGTTATTGGTAAAGGATATGAGTCGGCTGGTCTCTATCTCTTGGATACATCGTTACCCAAATCCATCTCTTGTCTTGGGATTGGAACTGTTTTAGAGGCTCACTATCGACTAGGACACCCCTCTCTCCCGTTGTTAAAGAAATTTCATCCTCAATTTAATAAGGTGTCATCTTTACAGTGTGATTCGTGTCAATTTGCAAAACATCATCGAACTAGTTTAAGTCCCCGAATTAATGAACGAGCACATGCTCCTTTTGAACTTGTTCATTCATTCTGATGTTTGGGGCGTTTGCCCTGTTGTGCCCAAAACTGGTTTTAAATATTTTGTTACCTTTGTTGATGATTATTCTCGTATGACATGGATATATTTCATGAAGCATCGTTCCGAGTTATTTTCTCATTTTTGTGCCTTTTGTGCTGAAATCAAAACTCAATTTGATGTACATGTTCGTATCTTAAGAGACAATGCTCAAGAGTATTTGTCTACCTCGTTTAAGTTGTATATGGCTCAACATGGCATAATTTATCAAACTTCATGTGTAGACACACCTCCCCAAAATGGAGCTGCTGAATGAAAGAACATATATGTATTAGAAATTGCGTGGGCTCTTCTATTCAAAATGAATGTGCCTAAACATTTCTGGGGCAGATGTTGTGCCTACCGCATGTTTTTGATCAATCGAATGTCATCTACTATTTTGGATGGTAAAACTCCATATCAGTGCTTATTTCCAAATAATGAAATTTTTCCTATCCCTCCTAAAATATTTGGTTGTACTTGTTTTGTATGAGATGTTAATCCCCATTTAACAAAGTTGGATCCGAAGTCATTAAAGTGCATTTTCTTAGGCTACTCTCGAGTTCAAAGGGGCACAAATGTTTTTATCCAAGTACGGGTCGGTATCTTATTTCAATTGATGTCTCCTTTTATGAAAATACACCTTTTTCATCAACAAAGACACATATTTGTAGGGAGAATGATGACTATACCCGAGTCCAATGCTTACAATTGTTCCACATGTTACTATCCTCAGCCTAGGCCTCCAATACACTTGGTGTACACTCGACCACACAAAGTACAAGATCACCCTCCACTTGTGGTTAGATACTGATCTGTTGTCGATCTCATGTCCTGAACCGATGCTTGCATCTTCAGATCATATCTCTACATCAGATCTTGACCTCCCTATATCACTACATAAAGGTACACGATCTTGTACTCATCTCATTTCTTCATTTGTGTCGTATAATCAGTTATCATCTGCCTCATGTTATTTCATTGCTTCCATTGATTCTATTTCTGTTCCCAAATCTCTTAAAGACGCTTTGTCTCATCCTGAATGGCATCATGTCATGGTAGAGAAAATGAATGTTTTGGATCTTAATGGTACTTGGGATTTGGTAGACTTGCCTACAGGGAAGAAGTATGTTGGTTGTAAGTGGATCTTTGTTGTGAAGGTTAACCCTGATGGATCTATTGCTCGGTTAAAAGCCCGATTAAATGTGAAGGGTTATGCTCAAACCTATGGTGTTGATTATTCCGACACATTTTCTCCTGTTGCTAAATTAACATATGTCAGGTTACTTATTTCCCTTGCTGCAACTAGTGGTTGGCACTTACACTAGTTGGACATTAAAAATGCATTATTGCACGGTTCACGAGGAAGTTTTTATCGAGCAACCTCCGAGATTTGTTGCTCAAGGGGAGCATGGGAAAGTTTGTCGACTTCGCAAGTCTTTTTATGGTTTGAAGCAAAGTCTCTGTGCATGGTTCGGGAAATTCAGTCAATCAATTGAACGGTTTGGAATGATAAAAGGTCAATCGGTTCACTCTGTATTTTACACACGAATGAAAGCAGGTATCACATTGCTTGTGGTGTAATCCCATCAAAACTTTTAAAAATTTTAAAAATTGCCAAAATAGTCAATTATAGGGCTCTACTTATAAATTTCACATAACCTACAAAGCTACAACTACTCCACTCTTGCGGAATCTTGCAAAGGTACTGAGCTATCACTATTCATGTCATCTCTTATCAAGAATCTGGATGAGTATCCAGAACTTATGCATCAAAGTATATCAATCAAAGTAGGAGATATTTTAATCCATGCCATGGGTACAACTACAGCTAACCGGTGAAGTTTTCAAAGAAAAAAAGGCCATTATGAATTAGGAATTCACGAAAACCATTAGAAATTATGAATGCATTGGGGGGGATATAGGATTACTTGAGGAGAATGATCTGGTTTCAGTATGGCCAGAGCTCCAGAAACATCCGGGTCGACTCCAATTACCCAGTCAATGGAAGGCTTCCCGTGAGGAAATGGGCAAGAGAGGGCGTCCAGCCAGTTCTCCCTCAGCTCATCTCTCAGAAGTTTCTTGCCACCCCTGGCCCTAGCACGTCCTCCACCTGTCCCAAAATCTTTAGGGTCAACAGTCACGGATGGCAGGTCAAGCGTAGGAGATGCAACAATAATTCCGCCAGCAGAGGCTGAGTAGACCCTGAATGCAAGAGCGGAGGAGGCAGCGAAGCGGAGTGGAGGCGGGATGAGGGTAAAGAAGCAAGTCGGTGGAATGAATGTGGGCTTCACTGCGGCTAGCTTCGTTAGATAGAAGGATTCCATCAAAAGCAAAATAAGCCAGTTTGAGAAGAGAGCTCCCAGCTTTTCACATGGCTATTCTACAGTCTACTTCTAAGCAAGTTTGAGAAGAGAGCTCCCAGCTTTTCACATGGCTCTTCTACAGTCTACTTCTAAAAACAAGCTGTTTTAGTTGTACCCATGGCATGGATTAAAATAATCTCAATGAATAATCCCAACTAGTCAAGCCATGTGAATAATCTCAACTAGGCTTGTTTAACATTCAGCGATTAGCGGAATAAATTGATGGGTTGTCAATGGCGAATTCGGTGAGCAGATTTGACTAGCGGAATAAATTGACGAGTTGTCAAAAGATGCTTGGTAATTAAGTTGTTTGGTCATAAAATTAGTAGAAAACGCCAATTTTCAAAACGTCAAACCCAAAACTCTCTTATTAGCATCGTTTTCATTTTGGCGTTTTCGTCTAAAAAACGTTAGTGCCGAACAGCTATTTACCAAACATGTTTTTCACTTATTGAAAATGCTAAAAGTGGTCAAATCGTCATTTTCGACTGAAAAGCCGTTTACCAAACACCCCCTACAAGTAAATGAACATAGAAAAAATGGGTGTGGAATTGTTTCCAATGCACCCTTACACAAGTCACATCTATCAACCATATATAGAGGTAACCAAGGCTATCTTGAGTAGGTAGTCGGTTCCTCAAGGCCAACCAAACACTAAAAGAAAGCTTGAGGGGAATATAGGATTTCCAAATGAAACTCATTGGAGTCCTAGAGACCCCTTTAACTCGTAGAAGCTCATAAACCGTGGATGCACAGTTTATGAAGAGGTTGGGCCAAATTAGAGATAAAATCCGTGGATGCTTTAATAATTTGAATGATACCATTTTGGATCTAACTCTAGAAGCACTAATGGCAAACTTGCCTCGGCCAAGGTTTATGAGCTTCTACGAGTTAAAGGGATCTTTAGGACTCCAATGAGTTTCATTTGGAAATCCTATATTCCCCCCAAGCTTTCTTTTAGTGTTTGGTTGGCCTTGAGGAACCGACTACCTACTCAAGATAGCCTTGGTTACGTCTATATATGGTTGATAGATGTGACTTGTGTAAGGGGTGCATTGGAAACAATTCCACACCTATTTTTTCTATGTTCATTTACTTGTAGGGTATGGGACAAGATTCGAGAATGGATGGGACTTGGGCACCAAATGTCTACACTGCTTAGCTCAATCAAGTGGATTTTAAGGGAGCATAAAGGATCAACGATGAAAGCAAAGGTGACAAAACTTGCTCTATGTGCCGCGGTGTATTACTTATGGCACGCAAGGAATGAGATCCGCTTTGATGGAAGGGAGAAGACCGAGGAGGAGATCATAGCCAAGATCAAGCATGCCGTCTACAAGATACTCTTTAGTATCTATTCATACGACTTAATCGATTTTTGAATGGGCCAAACAGCTGTTTGGGCGGCCGCGGTTTAGACTATTTTGGGAACTAGGGTGTGTGCAACTTGCAACACCTTTGATCTTTTTGTTAGATTTTTGTAGAGACTTTATGATGTGAGTGCGTGCATATGCAGCGCACCGATGTATGATTTTGAATTTTGACATAGAATAGATCGAATAAAAACCTCCTTTAACCCCTACATTATGTGGGGGTGGGGGGTTTAGGAGATCTAGGACATGTGATGTATAGTTTTCTTGGGTGTTAATATATATTTACATTTCATCCAAAAAAAGAATAATCTCAACTATTAGAGGTCATTTGGCAACACTGTTTTTCGGCTTATCAGCCAACTTTTTCAACAAACACGTAAATTTTGCTTTCGCGCGCTGAGTCGTGTAATAAGCAGAAAAAGTAAGGTTGGAGTTATTTTTCTGGCTGTATTGGCTGAAGTTACTGTAGATGACCATTTTTACTATTTTACATATAATTTTTTCTTTATTTTATTAATAAAATATATTTTAATTTTTTTTAAATCCGCAGAATCAGCCAATGCAGCCACTTCAGCCAGAACTTAATAAATTTTAGCAGAATCAGTCAAATCAGCCGACTTTCGTGCTTCCAAACGGGCTCTTAGTGATCTGTTTGAAATACTCCAAAGTATCAATTATCTCAAAATAATGTCAACTATTGAAAAATCTTCTCAAAATACTCCGATGACTTATAACTATTCGTAAATAACTTATACTCCTTCCGTGCCACTTTAAGGTTCCCACACTATTTACGATGTTTGACTGAACATAAAGCTAACTGATCCCTGTCATTAATAGAATTATTTTTAGTAAATAAAATTTACATATTCAAAAACTACATTAAAACCGCTACAAAACCTGCAAAAAATAATTTAAATTTCATAAGCTTTCGATACATAAAGTAAAAGATCAAGAACAATGCACGTTGACCGGAGAATAATGTACGTGAACCTTTAAATGGGACGGAAGAAGTAATATTTAGATGTAAGTGGAGTATTTTGAGGAAAAAAAATCAACATTTGGGATTATTTTGAGATAATTGATACTTTGGATTATTTGAAAGAGATTACTAATAATTGGTATTATTCTTGTCCATTATTCTTATATATTATCATCCGTTCTTTCAAAGTTGCAATAGTTTGACTTTCATGTTTGCCAACGCACAACTTTGACTATAATTACATTTAATTACGTATTACTACGTCTTAAACACTAAAAAAAGTTAATATTTTGGAAATATACATTAATAGAAATTTAATAACATTTTATACACAATAATTTGATTATGTATACTATTAGAAAACCGTAGTCGAAGTAGGTGTGTGAATAGTGCAAAAATCATAATGTTGCAACTTTTAAAGAACAAAGTAAGTATTGTGTTGGTCGAACCAGTAACACTAAGTGTGTAACCAGCTAGTTTATATATTGCACTTCTTTTATATTGTTATTACAAATTTAAAACTATAATTTGTAAATCATGGTTTGTTTATAAACATGTAACCATCTATGGCATTTTTCACGAGGGTTAAAAACTATGGTGTGTTTATAAAATTTTCTCCACATTTTTTATTAAATCTAGTACACTGTTTGTTTGTTTTGAGTCATTAGATCTGGAAAGTCTCTTTCACTCTTTGTATTTAAATTCTCCCCTGTTTATAGATAAGTGATCAAATATAACCACCTCCTAATTTATAAACTATGATTTGGTTATAAACTTGTAACCATCTATGGCATTTTTTCGTGAGGCCAAAAAACTATGGTGTGTTTATAAAATTTTCATCGCATTTTTTATTAAATCCAGTAAACTGTTTGTTTATTTTGAGCCATTAGATGATCCTTTTAATTTAGTATGAATGTAGAGATGTAATCATGTAAGAAAAAATACGAAAATGTGTGAAACATCAGAAGAAAAAGGTCTACAATGATGTGTGGCAAGTAGGGTTAGACCGGGCCCGGGTCGGGCTTTGGGCGGGAGTGGGTTTGGGAACTGGAGGCCCGGTATCGGCCCGAGTAGGGTCTAGGACCGGGCCCAGGCCGGGTCGGGTCTTATAATTTTATTTTTAAATTTTGGTTTTTCTTATTTATTCCTACCCCCCAATTACCCAGCCCCCCCCCCCCCCCCCCCGCCTAGCACCCATTCCATTCGAGGAAAAAAAAAACATTTTGGGCCCGGACTGGCCAGGCCGATCACCCGTAGCCCCCCACCCGGTTCGGGTCCTAGGCCCGGTGCCGGTCCCGGCTGGCGTTTCAGGCCGGTACTGCACAGTGGCGGTCCGGTGTGTGTGTTATATGAGAGAGTGAGAGAGTTTAAATAAAAAAGAAGTATTCCCGTGCAAAGTGCTAATGATTGCACTTTTCCCTCACCGTTTTGCACTATTGCATGTTTTTGTTGCACTTTTTCGCGGTGGCAAAAAAAACGTTTTTTTTTTTTACGAAACTGCCACCGCATTTTCCATCAAATTTAGTGCATTTTTTGCTCATTTTGAGCCATTAGATGTGGAAATTAATGCTCAAGATTTATTCTCATTTTGTATAAAAGAAAATTTAGCAAATATAACCTATTATATATATTAATAATATTATATGTGTGTGTGGGAGGGTTCTAATAAAAAAAGAACTATAATGTGTTACATGAGAATTAATCTCAACAGTCCAAAGTTTCAATCCAATGCACAATAATCCTTATCTACTCCACTCTCCATTAAACCTTATTTAACGCACTTTTTGAAAAGTGCATCAGATAAGGTTCAATGGAAAGTGCAATTGAACCCGATATGCATCAGTATGTATATATATATGGGGTGTTTGGATCTGATTCTTGAAACTGTTTCTGCTCTTTCAGGGAGCAGAAGCTGGAGTGTTTGGGTGAAAGTGTAGAAGTGATTCTGGTGCTCTAATTTACTCCTAGAATCATTTTTTTTAGAAGATGGGGTGACCACCCCCATATACACACACATACTAGACTAATGACCCCTGCGTTGGGATGGCATCTAGAACACGGTAATAAATTGCTAAAATTTTACTTTATTGCTATGTTATGTGTTGTGCAGTTATGTTTCATAAAAAATTTGAAAAAAAAACATCATATGTTCTAAAATATTTTATAGAAAGCTAGAGGCTAGAGCTGGTGTAGGATGTGGGGAGCTCACAAATAAAATATATTACCTCCACGAAGAAATGAGATAGTTATTATTAAGAAAAATGAAATTATATTATTAGTGGGGAATTCGAAACGTAAAAATAAAGAAAGAAATAGTGGTACATAAGTATTACTAAATGGAGCATATGACAAATTTAGTGAGGGAAACGAAACAGGAAAAGTAGGTAAAGATTCTTGGAAATGTGAGTAATTGATTATATGGTGTTAAAGTGTTTTATTGTTTTCTTAAGAGTAGACCAATGTGGCGATAGAAGAAAGTGAAAGTATATATAGGGGGTGTTTGGATCTGATTCTCAAAAGTGATTCTGCTCCTTCGAGGAGCAGAAGCAGAAGCTGGAGTGTTTGGGTGAAATTCCAGAAGCACTTCTGGAGCTCTAATTTACTCTCAGAATCAGTTTTTTTAGAAGCTGGGGGGGTACCAGCTTCTGAAAACTGATTCTGATTCTGCTTCTGCTTTTAAAAAAGAAGCAGAAGCAGAATCAGTTCCAAACACCCCCATAATGTCATCTAACTTTTCAGAGTCATGTAACATTATTTGTTTAGAATTTTTGAAGTACTGCTTTTCGTAAAG